TCACAGTGAGGCTTTCGAATTAGTGCTATATAAATTCTCTAATTTCTTGTGATGATACCTCTTAATATCCTATTATTATTTTAATAACATGATGAAATGCAATATACATCACAAATATATTACTAATATATATAATCCATTGAATTCCGAAAAAGGGGCGACAAAACTAAAAATTAATTTTATCGAGATTTGAACTCAAGTTACGCACGTCATTGTGCTTCTTGTGAACTCGCACCGCGCGCGAATAGAGTTTAGATAAATATAACAGCATCACTCAAATCTTGAAGTAATAATAATGATTATTTTTCATAAATTTACGTTAAAAAGATCGTATAGGTGAGTAATTGTATTTGAGGCCATAATTTCGCAAAAAATTAAGTGGCTTATACTATCAAACCCCTATAAATATTGGGATGTAATAAATTTGAAATCATCTGTTCTCTTTTAAAATCTCATTCTTTTAGATGCCTTGGTTTTAAACCTAGTGCATGATGGAATATTCAAAATATTATTGTCAAAAGATTCACTTATGAGTGTAATTTAATCACCAACTATCTGGTAAGGTTAGATTTCGTCGTGCAGTTCTATAGATAAAATCTATAATGTTGCCTCTATTATAAACGACTTTGTCTATTCACATCAATCCATACAAAATCTATGTCAAATAATACCGTGCATAGTTTACACCCATTCATAATGATATACCACGTTTGTATAGCTAATGAATAACTATTGAGTGACATGCAAAATATTCTTTAATTGAGACGTCGAAACGCCTTTGTTCGTAAATAGCCATCAATGAACCCTTCACAGATATAAATATGTGGGGCGAGAAATAGAGGCATTATACAGGAAAATAGAGGCATTATACAGGAAAATAGAGGCATTATATTTAGGAGAAATAGAGGCATTATACAGGAGAAATACAGGCAATATACAGTAGGAATAGAAAAATTATTCAGGAAAACAGAGGCTTTATACAGGAAAACAGAGGCTTTATACAGGAGAAATAGAGGCGTTATACAGGAGAAATAGAGGCATTATACAGGAAAATAGAAGCATTATACAGGAAAATAGAGGCATTATACAGAAATATCGCGTGAGATTGGATTGGTTGTACGTGTAAGTGCGGACGCACATGTGGCCAGAACGGCAGCCGTACGCCCGTCCCTCGATCACAGTTAATTCACTTATTCCTCCTTATCTCGTGACGACGCAATTGCTGCGATAGCAACAGCCCTCGCTTTACGGCTTTATTTTGCGTTTATTTATAGTCCTTTACCTCAATTTTAATTATTATATTATATTATTATATATTATTATTTATTATATATTTCAAGCAATATTATCTTTTGCGTTACGTGCTTGTGGTAATTTAATGTATGTTTCGTGCATTTCATCAATTATTTTCAGAATAACTTTGCCATGCCGTTATTCTCTACCTCTAAGATATTTCATTTCTTTAATAAATGATGATTCTCCTTTAATCAATAATTGATGATCAATTGATTGATCAATTGATTTAGTTAATTCATTTTTATTCAATTCCTTTTAAGATAGATCATACGTGCATGCACTTTCTCTACTCAATGTTTTGTAATTGCCCGATTCCATTCACTTGAATTTCCTGTTATTTAATTACTAATACATTCATGAAACTACTTATCAATTAAGCTCATTAATTTGCGTGACCTCAAAACTGGAAGCCAGCACGCCCACTTTACATTATTTTGTTCTCGGGCGTCGCAAGAAATATTCGGATGGTCACTATAGATGCTACACATAAATGAACGATTTTTAATTTTGCGGTGTATATACAAGCGTGTTGTATAGGCTTGTGTATACAATACGCTTGTATAGATAAAATATATACTCATTACATGAGCGTATTGTATAGGCTTGCGTATACAATACGCTTGGGTAGATAAAATATATACTTAGTACACGAGCGTATTGCATAGGCTTGTGTATACAATACGCTTGTATATATATATACTATGTACCTAATATGCAAGGGTATTGCATACGCTTGTGTTTACAATACGCTTCTATAGATATAATATATACCTAATACACCAGCGTATTGTATATAGGCTTGTGTATACAGTACTTGTATAGATAAAATATATACTTAATACACAAGCGTATTGCATATGCTTGTGTTTACAATACGCTTGTATAGATATAATATATACCTAATGCACAAGCGTATTGCATACGCTTGTGTATACAATACACTTGTATATATATAATATATACCTAATACACCAGCGTATTGCATACGCTTGTGCATACAGTATACACTTGCATATATATAATATATACCTAATGCACAAGCGTATTGTATACGCTAGTGTATACAATACGCTTGTATAGATAAAATATATACCTAATACACAAGCGTATTGTATAGGCTTGTGTATACAATACACTTGTATAGATAAAATATATACTTAATACACAAGCATATTGCATACGCTTGTGTTTACAATACACTTGTATAGATATAATATATACCTAATGCACAAGCGTATTGTATACGCTAGTGTATACAATACGCTTGTATAGATATAATATATACCTAATACACAAGCGTATTGTATATAGGCTTGTGTGGCGGCGAGCAGAGTTTCATAACCGGGGGGCGAAGAAATGCACCGCAGGCTCGTATAATAATTACAAGGCAGAGTTTCCTACAAGTGCACGGCAGTAACAACAAGTGTGGGCGCATTGCTCCACTCTTTCCTGAGTTTCTCTCAAGTTAAATAAGAAGAAAAAGACAGGAAATCTCGGCAGGTAAGCCCCAAAGGAAGCTGCGCAACGCTTCCGAACGATGTTTATAGGCGTTGCCATATACACAGTACGACATATTGAACGTAAAAGTGTATAGTAATTTCATCTCATGTATAATAATTATCTTAATTATCTTAGAAATAATTAGATCATTATTATCAGTGACATCATTAAATATTATTATCTAATTATCTTAAATATAATTAGATCATTATTATCATTGAGATCATTAAATATTATTACTTAATTATCTCAATAAACGACGCAAATAATTATATTTATATGTCTGATAAAAGTCCGTAGGACTTATCAAAAAATTTAATTCGTCTATCTTTTGCATTCTAAGCGATGCCAATGCTTTAGGAAGAAATGAGACAACGATGCGTCAATATTACGATATTAATAAATAATTTAAAAGATGGATGCCCTCTTAACACTCAATTCTCTTGCTACGCTGTTACACTTCACAGTCAAGTTGCAAGTGGATGGATAAATTTGTTATTGTACTGGGACCTCACTAGGAGTTGGTGCTCAGCTAGGAGTTGGTGCTGAGTTAGGAGGAGTTGGTGCTCAGCTAGGAGGAGTTGGTGCTGCAGCTATGCATAGGAGTTGGTGCTCAGCTAGGAGTTGGTGCTCAGCTAGGAGGAGATGGTGCTCAGCTAGGAAGAGTTGGTGCTCAGCTAGGAAGAGTTGGTGCTCAGCTAGGAGGAGATGGTGCTCAGCTAGGAGTTGGTGCTCAGCTAGGAATAGTTGGTGCTCAGCTAGGAGGAGATGGTGCTCAGCTAGGAGTTGGTGCTCAGCTAGGAAGAGTTAATGCTCAGCTAGGAGGAGATGGTGCTCAGCTAGGAAGAGTTGGTGCTCAGCTAGGAGTTGGTGATCAGCTAGGAGGAGATGGTGCTCATTGGTGCTCAGCTAGGAGGAGTTGGTGCTCAGCTAGGAGTTGGTGCTCAGCTAGGAGTTGGTGCTCAGCTAGGAGAAGTTGGTGCTCAGCTAGGAGGAGTTGGTGCTCAGCAAGGAGGAGTTGGTGCTCAGCTAGGAGGAGTTGGTGCTCAGCTAGGAGTTGGTGCTCTGCTAGGAGTTGGTGCTTATAGGAGGTTTACTTGTTTAGGGACGGCAGCGATTTTATAGAGAAGGCGGTGTTCTGAATGCATTACTAACTTTTTCCAAAGTTCTGTTATAATATTAAAAAACTCTCTTGTGTTTTTTTATATAAATGCTGGAAAGTAGGTTCACAAAGCCACGAAAAAATCAACTGATGTGCATGTTCTACATTTGTGGATGTGCAGAAATATAAACAATTAAGAGTTATTGAATCGAGTATGTTGAGACTGAAATATAATGTCTTTGTCGAAATGAAAATAATGGATGTTTCAATGAGCCCCATTAAATTCAGTATCTAATAACCAGGTACGATTTCTCTCGCTTTATTGAGTATAAGACTATAAATGAGCTCTCTTATAAACACTCAAAATAATCGCAATATGGCAAAACCACAAAAATAATCACATTACAATTAAAAGCACGCGGGCATGAGCTTGGAGAATCCAATTTGTGGGTGTAGAATTATTCCAAATTCTATTCATGATCGAAACTTAATTTAGTAGTCTTAACTGTAGAATATCTGGCAGTTTCTCATTCCTATAAATCATTACTCAATATAGTAGTCGTGTAGATTATCTGGCAGGGTTTAATTCCTAAATCATAACTAAATTTAGTAGTCTATAGTAGATTATCTGGCAGTTTTTCATACCTACATCATTAATATAGTGCCCTTAAAGATATAGTGTCGTGTTAGGTTGTATCTGGCGTATTCCTGTTAGGTCAATTACTAAGAAATTAAAAAAAAGCGATGTAATTAACATTATCTTCCACTACATATTATTATCTATTAAAATTATACTATTCCAAAAATTGCTAATATATGTAGGAATAAATTGAAAATTTATCACTTAGGAAAGTATCTAAAATGTACAGTTTATATGAATAAATTAACTCGTTATACGTAACAGCACAAAACATTTCAATACTAAACACAAGAACTCCAAATGAGAATTTAAACTCCGCCTATATCCCAGTTGTGTGCCACGAAAGAAGAAATATATGAAGGCGGGGCAGCGCTAACGAGCGAGCGGTGACTGTAGAGGCGGGACCGAACACAACTCTTATAGCGAAGCTCGTGAGCTGAACCACGCATTCGTGATCTGACGACCAGCGTGACCGCGTGCGAGCCACGAACGTGAGCTGAAACACGCATACGTGATCAGATTACAACTGTGGCCGTGCGTGCTACGTATTCGTGATCCGACGACTGGAGTGGCTACGTGCGAGTCACGAACGTGAACTGGTCGTGCTATTATCTTGCTTGAATTTCCCTACCGTCGGACATTGCTCCAACCTATATTTTAAACTGTGATTTTTATGAATCCATGCAATTTTCCCAGTGCTCTAAATTACCTTTCATTTCACCCGCCAGTGCATTTTTATCTCTAACTAATTATCGCTTAATCGGTTTGAACGTTATTGTGAGGACGGATTGCACAAAAACTTTACTCTCTCTACTCAAGTTTGTCACAACTGTAAATTGCATCATTAATCACCTCGCAGGCTTTATTCCATTAATAGATCAGTCATCTAAATCAAAAGTTATCTCCAGTGATTGCTCCATGTAGGCTGCTTGCCACGGATCATCAAAATAACACTGTCAACGCCAGAAATTTTTCCAAATAAACTAAGCGATCAATTTCAAGAAATTATTTAACACTTTCATACCGTCACAATGAGCATCGTTGGAGGGTTTTCGATGCCTCAAAACTTCAACCATCATTTGTCTGCATCCCCGGCTTCCCTTTACCAACATCACGGATACTATGGCCACGCAAGTCCCCCGAACCAACTTTACCATGGCTGGGGCTACTCACCTATCAACAACCACAACTCTTATGGTACCACAGGGGGTACAGTAGGCATGGGTACCAACGGGTACTGTGGTCAAGACATGACCATGGAGTATTCATCATCTGGTATGGACAGAAGCTCTGGTCTCATGACTGGACTCATGAACGGTGGACCAGTGGGTAATATGTTGGATTACCATCATCATCACCTGCACCACCACCATGACTATATCGAGGTGGTTGACTCATGTGGCAGGATTGTCAAGCGGAGGTCTTCTGCGAACAAGAAAGAGCGACGCAGAACCCAAAGTATCAACAACGCCTTCGCGGAACTGCGGGACTGTATCCCTAATGTCCCCCCGGACACAAAACTTTCCAAGATCAAGACCCTGAGGTTAGCCACCTCTTACATTGACTACCTTATGGCCCTTCTGCATTCTTCGTCTTCCTCCACCGCATCGTCTTCATCATCATCATCGTCGTCTTCTTCTTCAACTTCTTCGTTAGTATCCACATCATCCACGTCAGTCACAACCACTCCTCCGACCACTCCTCCATCTGTATCCAGCGTCCCTCATCTCCCCGCATTATCCAATTCCTCGAATGTCTCTGCGTCGACCCCGCCGCCAGCCTCGACCAGCGGGGAGTGTATGACACTCCAGCACCTACCACACAACCGATTACCTCAGCAGCAGCACCATCACCACCAGCAACAAGTTACTGTCAATAACAGTGAATATCTCGCCGAATATCCTTCGAGATTAACATTCAGTGGGGAGAATAACATTGCAAACATTAACCATGGCAGCAACATCTCGGATGAGCACCAGCAGCACAATGCGCCTGCACTCAAGGTAAGACAACAATATTATATTATCAATTTCATGCAACATATCATCCCATTAGAAAGAAATAATTGCTTTTCAGACAAGACAATTAGTTGACCTGGCTTTCACAATTAATCTACTTGACAGGAGGACGTCTCAAATGCATTATTATTTCATGGAACACTAATCAGCCACTAATTAATCAACACTAACTATGGAATTCATGCTATTATTCAACTTGCTGTTTTCATGCATTCAAAACATTATCCAATCCATAAATAATTTGTTTACAACTTTCATTAAAATTTCAATAACTCTAGTGTTTGATACTTTGAAATAATATAAATTTATCATTAAAATTCCGTAATTGAATCTACAAATTGTGTGAACACAGTCGAAACATTCGTATCAACTGTGCGAGAAGATCCCGTTACTGAAATACGACCGAACACAAGCGCAATTAATGCTGTCTCTGCTCGCCTAGTGTTTGCACGCATATATAAACTTGATAGTTGTGAATCTCTTATTTGCCTGTTGTGTGCCATGATAAGCAGAATTTCGAGTATTTCCCTAGCTATTTTTTTTCACTTTAACGATCATGCATTTGGTCAAGTCATATTGTGAAAAACACGAATTTATGATCAGCATTGAAACAAAGAGAAATCATCCAAATTGTCATAAAATTCATGAAAGTTTTCGTCTCGATGTCTGAAATTAGAGCCAGTTTCAATCAATGCGGAATGAATTGTGAACAATTCTAATGCATTGTATCATTCCGCATCACTTATTTGCCAGTCTCGCATTCACGCTAATTTGCAGAGCAGTTCATTAATTACACGACGAAGATATAATGGAATTCTTAGCCTCCCAAGCACGCAATTCCTTCAATTTTGTTCGATCAATTGACTCCAAACTCTGGTTGTCATTATCGGTTCAGTTCATTGTGGCATTTCATTTCATAATGTACATTTTAAATTATTGTGTTATAAAAAGACATTTTCTAAAATGCAGAATTTTTTATAATGTAAACATCTGAAAATTCACTATGAACTCCAAATTCAATTAATTCATTAACTGTTTGACACATATTTAACATTAACAATTATTAACCAGATTGTGTTTAAACAAAACCAAATTTCATTACAATTTAATGCAAGGTTTACATTAAGACCTAAAAATCACAATATAAACTTAAGCCTTTGAGCTGGCAATGTGACAGTTGTAAAAATGCGTGTATCAATTACACTAAATAAACATTATATTCATCGAGTGATATTTATAGGGCCACTTATCATAATTGAGTTAACACACTCTCGGCTTTCGATAATTGGCAAACAGAGTAATTAATGTACGAGTGCAGAGAAGGTGTAGCATTTCTCTGCATATTAGCGTTGTTGTGGGGCCAATTTCGCCGCACGCCACAAACAAAGAAGTCATTGACGGGGCAACACACAAAAAATAACAGCAACAACGGCCACAAAACGAGACCTCCCTCGAGGACTGCTCTCGAGTTCTTTACAAGAGCCTCAGCAAACGTCCACTTCGGCAGTGGGACTTGCTTCGAGCGAAACAGGGATCAAGGGACGGGGACTTGCTTCGAGCAAAACAGGGATAAGGGGACAGGGACTTGCTTCGAGCAAAACAGGGATAAAGGGACAGGGACTTGCTTCGAGCAAAACAGGGATAAAGGGACAGGGACTTGCTTCGAGCAAAACAGGGATAATAGGACGGGGACTTGCTTCGAGCAAAACAAGGATAAAGGGACGGGGACTTGCTTTCGGGGACTTGCTTCGAGAAAAACAGGGATAAAAAGACGGGGACTTGCTTCGAGAAAAACAGGATAATGGGACGGGGACTTGCTTCAAGAAAAACAGGGATAAAGTGACTTTGGACTGCTTCGATCCAAAATGAAGAAGAAGACTGGAAGTTGTACTACACAAGACGTCAACTGTAACGGTATGACATGTGAGTTCATTCATTGCGTTTCGAACTTTGCGAGACATTGCATTAGAATCCAGTGCAATCGATGCGTCAACTCATGCATGAAATCATACTCAAGTGTTGAATGTTCAAAATTCAAAACGGGCTGAAATTCCCTGAACTTTTTTTATAATGACACTTCCCATCATTGATCGCAGTTGAGTAAACTCTTTAAACTATTTGCTAATTGGCAATTGATTCTGGACCAAAATTAGTAATAGGTCTCCCTCATGGTAAGGCAGCTCTCTCAGTCTGCTGCCTGATAGAGTCGTTCTGAAGACCGCGCTGACGAGACTGCAGTTGCGTATAACACATTCTCGCCTCGATGGTCATAAATTTGTTAATAATTTATTGATAAGTTTGGTGTGTTCGGACAGGCGACATTAAAGAGCACCGACTTATAATGAGGAGACATGCTTCATGAGGCTTGCAGCTCAAGGGCTTAGGCTGTTCTTTATGCTCAAATATGCAGTTAAGACCTTGCCATATATGGCCAAACATGGAGCTATCGTTTATTCAATTTTAAATAACAAACCCACTCAAAATAGTTCGTTAATGCGAAAATTAATTGTAGATTTTTAAAAATCCCGCTGCCCTGAACCCCACTAATGATGTGATGTCATTCAAGGAAGAGTCTTAGCAACATCTTACGTCAAATTCTCATTAAACTCCCGCTAAAAAATTCAAGAATAAATTGATCGCTCATTCTTCAATAATTCTCTGCAACGCCTGTTAGCCGCCATTACATTATGTGGTTAAACTATTAGTAGACTTGTACATCATTATAATAGGCCAGCAGTAGACCATCAGTAGACCAAGGTTGGCATGAATATATATGCCAGTGTTATAGTAATTCAGTTTTAGATATAATAGAATTTAGCCTGAGGATTCGCTCTCTGTCTCGAAGCGACATGCCCTAAATTTGGTTTAGTTATGGAAAAATTCTTCTAATAACAGCGATTTCGTACATTTGTACCCGACACCGATTACGTGCATTTGTACCCGATTGTTCGATGTTTGATTCTGAAATTTTCTACCGGTAAATCCAGTATTCCCAATAAAGGAAAAAAATGACGCATGAACCTGAATCGAGGCTCTTATTATTGTAACTATACTGGCAATCAAGCATCATAATTGCCAAGCCAAATACTAAATCTCACTTTACATGTCTTTGGCAGGTCTCTGATGACTGTAATCATTTCAAAGGAAAATACATGTTACTTTATTAGCATGAATCAGTCGACATGAGAGGCTCACATCTAGCACGGCTCCTTAATTCACCTGGGGCTCTCCGCCAATCACAGCGCGCGCCCGAGCCGCGCAACTCTCATTGGTTGAAAATTAAATTGAATGAGTTGAATGAAAGCAATTAAAATATTTCCTTATTATTTTCGTTCAGCGCAATAATAGCGAGTTCGTGAAATTTAAAAAACTGCGCAATTTTTTATTTTACATCCCTAAAACGTATAGACGCTGCAAATTATTTGGGAATCGATTATTTTAACGAATTAATCAGAAATTTTACATCCTTTGTAATAGATAAGCGGAAATAAACAACGAAGGAAATTTAAAATTCTAACATTTTTATTCTATCAATAAACTAAACCTTAATTGACTGCATATAAACAAACTTTATGACATCAATACACCAAAATGGCTGCAAAATTTAATTATACTATGAAATTTTATTACCGCACATGACAAAAAGATTCTTGACGATAGTTAAATTCCAAAAAAATTCTGTCCCGGAGATTTAAAGAATTTACAATTAAAAATTTTTAACGGTCAATAAGTATTTTAAGGCACATAACTTTTTCGTGGCTAATTTAAAGACAGTTATGTATAATATTTTCCAAGAGACATTGAGCAGAATGTTTTAGAGGTGTTAAGAGCGTGCAGCACGACACGCTTAGATGACTTTACACGCTACACGTAACCCGGTCCTGGCCACGGCCTAAATGCCTGAAACTGGACACTCTGGCCGCATCTAAACTCGTTTCTGGCCTGTGTAGCATCGGAAACTTTAGTATAATCTGTTGTCAAAATACTATATGCTAAATATGGTATTTTATTATCTGTAGGCACAAATTTCAGTCAATATAGCATACTAGATATTTTATAAATGTCGATTATATGTTGCATGTTCAGAATTAATTGGTGTCGTGTTCCTGACGGCTATTTGGTGCCATGTTCCTGATGATTGTTTTGTGCCTTGTTCCTAATGGCTGTTTTGGGCCGTATTTTTGATGGCTGTTGTGTGCCGTGTTCCTGATGACAGTTTTGTGATGTGTTCGTAATGGCTGTTTTGTGTCGTGTTCCTAATAACTGTTTTGTGCCGTGTTCCTTTTGTCTGTTTTGTGACGTGTCCCTGATGACTGTTTTGTGATGTGTTCGTAATGGCTGTTTTTGTGCCGCATTCTTAATGGCTGTTTCGTGCCGTGTTCATAATGGTTGTTTTGTGCGGTGTTCCTAATGGCTGTTTTGTGCCGTGTTCCTGATGGATGATTTTTAACGTATTCCCAATGGCGGTTTTGCCTCGGATTCCTAATGGCTATTTTGTGCCGTGTTCCTGATGGCTGTTTTGTAACGTATTCCCAATGGCTGTTTGGTTACGTATTCCTAATGGCTGTTTTTCGTATTACAGATGGCTGTTTTGTGTCGTGTTCCTAATGGATGTTTTGTGCCGTGTTTCTAATTGTTGTTTTGTGCAGTGTTCCTAATGGCTGTTTTGTGACTTTTTTCTAATGGTTGTTTTGTGCCGTGTTCCTATTGGCTGTTTGTGACTTATTTCTAATGGCTGTTTTGTTCCGTGTTCCTAATGGCTGTTTTCCTTGTTTTTTCCTAAGGCTGTTTAGTGACTTGTTTCTAATGGTTGTTTAGTGCCGTGTTCCTATTGGCTGTTTTGTGACTTATTTCTAATGGCTGTTTTGTTCCGTGTTCCCAATGGCTGTTTTTTGCCGTGTGCCTAATGGCTGTTTTGTGACTTGTTTCTAATGTTTGTTTTGTGCCGTGTTCCTATTGGCTGTTTTGTGACTTATTTCTAATGGCTATTTTGTGCCGTGTTCCTAAAGGCTGTTTTGTGCCGTGATCCTAATGGCTGTTTTGTGACTTATTTCTCATGGTTGTTTTGTGCCGTGTTCCTAATGGCTGTTTTGTGACTTGTTTCTAATGTTTTTTTTTGTTCCGTGTAACTAATGGCTGTTTTGTGCCGTGTTTGCTGTTTTGTGATTTGTTTCTAATGGTTGTTTTGTGCCGTGTTCCTAATGGCTTTTTTGTTCCGTGTTCATAAAGGCTGTTTTGTGCCGTGTTCCTAATGGCTGTTTTGTGCCGTGTTCCTAATGGCTGTTTTGTGACTTGTTTCTAATGGTTGTTTCGTGCCGTGTTCCTATTGGCTGTTTTGTGACTTATTTCTAATGGCTATTTTGTGCCGTGTTCCTAAAGGCTGTTTTGTGTCGTGATCCTAATGGCTGTTTTGTGACTTATTTCTAATGGTTGTTTTGTGCCGTGTTCCTAATGGCTGTTTTGCGACTTGTTTCTAATGTTTTTTTTTTGTTCCGTGTTCCTAATGGCTGTTATGTGCCGTGTTTGCTGTTTTGTGATTTGTTTCTAATGGTTGTTTTGTGCCGTGTTCCTAGTGGCTTTTTTGTTCCGTGTTCATAATGGCTGTTTTGTGCCGTGTTCCTAATGGCTGTTTTGTGCCGTGTTCCTAACGGCTGTTTTGTGCCGTGTTCCCAATGGCTTTTTGTGTCGTGTTCCTAATGGCTGTTATGTGTCGTATTCCTAATGGCTGTTTTGTATCTTGCTTCTAATGGCTGTTTTGTGTCTTGCTCTATTGGCTGTTTTAGAGGTGCAAAATTACTGAGAATGCCCCTAAAGGCTGTTTTGTGCCGTGTTCCTAATGGCTGTTTTGTGCCGTGTTCCTAATGGCTGTTTTGTGCCGTGTCAGGGCGCTGGCGAGGGCGACGCTGCGGGCAAGAAGTGCAGGACAGGCTGGCCTGAGGCGGTCTGGGCCAACGAGCTCAAGAAGGAGAAGTGATCTCCTCCGCTGCAACACACACGGCTCCTGCCTTGTGACTAAATGAACTCGTCTAAGTACACGTAGCGGCTCAAGTGCACTTAACGGCCCAAGTACACGTAATGGCCCAAGTACACGTAGCGGCCCAGGTACACTTAGCGGCTTAGGTACGCGCATCGATTTGTCTTTTATGATTGGTGGATTTAAAAAAGCCGTCAGTGATTGCATGACAGAGTTACGAACTCGCAACTAATTTTGACAGTACGGCCCCAAGAAGTCGATTGAGAATATGGAAATGTGCAAAACTGTTCTTCAAGCCGAGCGTTTCTGCGACCGTTGTCGTAATCATGAACATAAATTCTAAGAGCAAAATTAAGTATTTTCTGTTAAAAGAAATTGCGACTATCTTAGTTGCAAAGAAATTAATTAAAAATAAGCAAAAGTGAGAATTAATGGCTTTTTAATGTCATTCTTTAAGCTTTCATTATTCTTTTCATGACAATTTACGGAAAACCAAGCAACTAATACCTCATTTTTAGTTTATCGTTTAATCTTGGCGAAATAATTTAATTGATTAATTCAATTTTTTCTCTAATTATTTCCTTGGAGACTTATCCCAGCCGAGCTTATTATAACATAAATAGCAATTTGTTACACTAGGATGTATACGTACATTGAGCTGGATGATCGACATGAATTTATAACTAATAATTAAAAGTCGATTTTAATATTGCATGTATTCTTGGTGTTTGCTTCAATTGATCTCATTCGTTCTTTATTGTACATACCTACGATGCAAGCGTTAACTGCTTTTGCCCCCTTCTCAAATTCGCGAACATTTGCATTTTCAAATTATATTATGAAGATAAACAGCAAAATATTGTATGACGATATTATTCCAGGAGCTCTGGAAGGATATTGACCAAGGATTATCAATTAAGTCTCTCTTTTATTCTCCTTAAAACTTGTTAATAATATGAAAATCCAATTATTATCTGTGCAAATTTTTTGTATATAATATTCACTGTCTCATTTTCTTCATCATGACTCGCTATGCAATTATAAAAATATTTTGTTAATAATATTCACAGTTACCATGTATCATTTTCTTGGTATGCACTTATTACTTATGACTTGGTATATGCACTTATGATAGATTCAACTACAGCTTAGTTCGAAAGGCTGAAAGGGTTAAAAAAACCTTGTTTCGGTATCTTATAACTGTTATTCAATTAATTTTTTTATTGTGTTATGTGTTAGATAACAGGCTTAAAATTTTAGATTTAAATCTTTGTAACTATGAAATTGAATGCGTGGAAATTTAATGAAATTTTTAAATGCATTTCTACGTACTATAGACTAATTTCTCCTCAATTATGTAAAATGTGAATACTAGTGTACGCTGTGTAAAAAATACTGTAAAAATAGTTGAATTTAATTGTAAATAATAATGTATGTTCAAAATTATTGAATTCACGACACCTAATTATGTTAATATTTGCATAGCTAAGTAATTTATACTAGGCGGCAAGTTTTAAAATATTCTCATGTAGCACTTCGTTCTCATTAAAAACATGACCTCGGTAAATAAAACTAAGTCTTAATATTGTATAACTTCAAGCTCCTGACGCATGCCCTGTTGATATTAAAATCTGATGTGGTGTAGAGGTTGGGATCCGAGTTCACAGTTATCCTTCTAAGGTGAAATAAATAATTGAAAAATAATCATGTTGACTATTGTTTGGCATTCATGTATAATCTCAGAGTATTCAAATAGATGCTGAACTTAGAATATTTCAATTTTACTGCCAAAACATGCACACACAAAAATTACTCCGTTTGATTCAAAAGTTAGCAAAAACCTACTGTTTTTTATTCCTGCGAATGCTAATTATCAAATCACTGAATGCCGAATTAAATAATCTATTAATGTTTTCCTGATTCTCATATTACAAGCTCATTTAGGAGAGCTTTTTTAACGGTCGTTTTCGGTCAGACTTTTAAAAATTCCGGTCGTTGAGGTTCAGTTGAAGAGTTAAATTCCGCATCGCATCCCTTGACGCCCGTCAAGCTCACGTAGAATGCGGTGCCTCGACCGCTTTTCAGAGCCAAAATATATAGGAGGCTTTTGGTTATAAGAAAATATCTTGCGAAATTGCTTTGTTCCAGAAATAAAATTGCTGAGATAATAAATGGTATCATTTTTTAAGTATTTGTATGACATTTGCTGTGTGAATTTTTTATATTGATGTATAATAACCTGCTCCACTGTTTTCTTTATATTAATAGATTTCAAAATAAATATTTGAAAAAATCTTTATTGCTGTTTTTCCTTGATAGCATAAATTAAAAAACGAGTGATTTTAATAAGCAATAAATTCTCGTATATTTCGCATTTGATGTAGTAAAATTTCAGGTATCGTACTCTCCTTTTTGACAAATTTTATCCCATCTTAATCCCTATATGTAAACTAATCCTTTTGACGAAATAAATCTGCAGAACCTTGTTTGTTCTCAGTCAACTTTTACGCTGAACGCTTGCACACCTGTGACACTCAAAATATGAACGTTTATATTTCGAAATAATTTGCTTAGTAAATTTTTCGAAATTTTAATTACTAATAATTAATTATTTACTAATAATTTTAAATAATTAAAAAAAATTTTCGAAAATAATTTGCTTAGTAAATTTTAAGAAAAAAATTCGGGGAAATAAATCGAGCCCTTATTGTTCGAATAAGGCGTTGTAAATATACAGACCCTATATTGTAAAGGCGGTCTGGAGATAATGAATATTATTGTTTTGCGGACTATATCCCTTGGTCTAAATGAATGCAAACATAATTTTTTTCCAAATTTAGTAATAATAATAATAAGTAATAAATTAAAACAATTGATATATTAAATTTCATTTAAAATATTTAATTAGAAGGTAATTAATTTTTATAACGTATAATTTAATCATTACCATATTTACAAAGAATAACTCACGTACACAATCACAAAGCGAAATACTATTCTGCTTCTTTTTTCTACAACAACTTCCTTGCAATTGTTGGTCTTATAGGTTAATTGATGAACTAACTGACAAATCTCGTATGTTGAACTAATCACGAAAGAAATTATTTCAGAGGGAAAAATTATTTAATTAAAAATTAGGCCAACATGTAGTAAAGTCTCATGTAATATTAAATGCATGAGTACCGTGGGTGTCAGAGTGTTACAATAGTAATGATCGTTATATCACTTGATTCATCATCAATAAAATCTTTGCTCTCTGAGAAATTATAGCCTATAATTATCTTTCAAATAGCCGCTAATCCAATAAAATCTAAAAAAAAATCGCATCCCAATAAACATTGAAACTTTTAATCTTGTTTTATTTTTTCTGCATCCCTCTTAGGAAATTATGCTCGGTTCGAGTTAGGAATATCGCGATTTTTTTAAGGAACGCACAAAATGAGGAAGCAATATTCCCCGAAAACAGACTAGTTGAAAACTTAATTTGCGCTCTTTTTCGTAAATTTTTTGTTCTTTCGTCCTTGAAATTCATTCAAGTCAATTTCAGTTTTAAACTTTACGAAATACCACCTGCATCGTCTGGCATCCGCTTTTATTTTGTGTAAAAAATTCAGACGAAGACTCGTTTATCGGCTCTGTAATTAGAAAAAATTCACTGAAAGAACTTAGACCTGCATTCTTCTCTAATTTTCAGACGAATATGAAACGTTTTTATTTTTATCGTACTCAATCATACATTGTAAATCATAATCTATGCGCCCATATAAATTCATTTTAAAATTGATTTCCCAGTTTTTGTACGCATACTCAAAGATCCATTTCATTGTGCTCAATTTTTCTCGGCACGGCTGCAGTGCGCGCGGTGTGTGTTTGCTTGCCTCGCATGTCTCACTCGTGAAAATAAACATCGCTCTCTGAGAAAGTGTCGAGCCTAAGGCCTAGGTTGGCGAGTAGGCCAGGAGGTCACTTCGCACGGCCGACAAGTCCTTATATGATCGATGATCTCAAGCTCTAAAAAAACATTTGCCTTGCTCAATTTTTCTCACAACACAATTAGTTGTGCCAGAAGAGAGTCTAATTAATCTTCACGCACGTTTGTCTGAAGTTTTTATTCAATAACAGAATTTTACGCTCCTTGTGCACTATTGTTTCGGTTTATGCTATGGGAAACGTCAGAAAATGAAATTAATTTTTTTCGGCAATTTATATATATAAAATTACAGAATTAAAGATCCTCCAGAGATTATTCCCTGGATGTAACAAATATTACATTTAAAAATCGATGCAAAGGAAGATGTAACTTTAAAAAGTGGGCTATTCAATTTTTTCATGCTCTCTTAGGACGATATTTAACCATAAAGGAGCCACACACAATATAGTTCATCAAACACAAACATATTTCCATTACATAGCAAGATTTTTTCTTATAAAGTAACTATAAATATTTTCTATGATGTTTTTTTCCTATAGTTTCATAATTCTAGCCTTTTAGCTTTTATTACAAAAACTCGGACAACAAGAATTTCAGTTCGCTCACGAAATAATATCCTATATGCGAGAGAATTTAATTTATTTACCTGAAGATAATATCTAATTTGTGGCCATTAACTTTCATGAAGGTGTTGTAAATTACCATGACACTTTTTTGTGACGGTTTATATTGCGTATAAAGATTAACACCACAACAAGATTTTGTGCGTTTCAATAAATTTTTCGAATAAATTCAGATAAATTCGAAAAAATACAGAAGCAGACAGAAAACAATTTAAGCGTCGGCTCGAAGTGGACTAATTTTTTTCAGATATTTTAGCAAGCAAATCACACAAATTTAGCCACGCATAATTTACTGATTAAATATATTTTCAATATAATGAAGCTCATAAAAACGACGCGCAAACTGCATATGATTATTTTAAGATACGAATGATTAATTAAAAAATTGGTTTAGCATCCATTTCATGTTCCCATATTTGTCTAGTTTATGGGATCAATTTTATTAGATCAATCTCTTGGCTCGGTTCAGTCAAAACAAAATATCGCTCAATGAAAATCACTAAATCCTAAGAGTTAATATGCGAATAAAACGATTACGTTTAATGCAAATAGACGTGCAAACGTATGCAAATATGAGGATATTTGAAATTGCGTTTCTCGTGGTTTCCCAAGTAAATATATGAATGCATCTAAAAGAATTCAGATCATGGATGTCTTTATGATTTCCAAAGCAATCGTGAAAGCAAACATGACAAATTTTCAGGGAGCCTATTCGTATCATGCAAGATCGTTGCCGATTACTCTATTTGTTGGTATTTTTGATTTCCTGTGGCACAAAGTTAGTTCATTGTAAACGAATTAATGAATAAAAACTCTGAGTATGCCCCTCGTAATATTAACGTCACATGAAATTTTCTATCTTAAGCTTGATATGAATTTTTCACCTGAACCAATTATTCCTTCATTTCAAATCCTAAGTCATGAACAAACTCAAGGAGCTCTAAGCAATGCTCATGACCTCCAACGTGGCTGAGAATATTTTGCGGATGGCGGGATGCGTTGACTTGTGGATCTCACGACGAGACCGGATTTGAGGAGCCCATCTAGCGTTACGTTTTCTTTTGTATGCAATCATTAAGTTGACACAAGATGATTCTGGCGAGTCGTAACTAGCGGGCGGCACAGCGCATCCAAAGACGCCGTCGTCCCTGTCGTCGCTCTAACTGCGGGCGTCTTCATAAATCGTCTCCTCTTGCCTCCTCTCCACACAAGCCAGTGAAGGTGCTCATCCCAGGCTGCAAATGACGGCCCTCCAGCCCGATAATGACTGTATAATGAACAAGTAGAGCGACGGCAGCGGCAGTTCTATAATATAGGCGCTTTTACGGAGCCTCACACGAAGACCTCCGAAGAGCAGTTATTATCTCAACACCTGTGGCTGGAAAACCATCTCCTCCGACCCCGCTCTCAATCTCACCTCTGACATTTGTGAACGGGAACTCT